GATGTTGATACAATCATCATCTTCTCTGTGTACGTTTGTTGTCGTCATGTCAAGGGGCTCAAAAGTGGTGACGACAAAATTTGTAGTGGCGCTGATCTCTTCAAGTGATATCTTCCCTTGGCGAGCTAGCTGCATAACTTTATCTTTGAATACGAAGCAATCATGAATTGGGTGCCCTACCAACCGATGATACTTGCAGTATTTTGGGTCATCGGTCTTGTTAGCTTCTTCGGGGCGCTTCATTTCAGGCAATTCGATAAGTTTTAAACCTAGCAAATCGTCAAATATTCCAGCCACATCGGTGTCGAGGAATGGATATTCCCTTGCTTGCATTTCTTTTAGAGTAAGTCTTCTTCTTTCTTGGGAAAAATCTTGTTTTTCCTCATTGTTTCCGTTCGCTTTTCCTTGAAATTTGATAGGGGTTGCATTCACTGCCAAAGATTCTTTGCTTGAGGTCTTAGAGAAAACTCTACCCCCCTTCCGAAAGTCTTGTTTTTCTTTGGACTGTCGAGGCTCTTGAACTGGTGGTCCCTCAACTCCACTAGCCATAATGCTCAACTCCATGTCGTGCGCTCTAGTGGCCAACTCTTCAAAACTCTTAGGTTGAATCCCTTGTAGGATATATCGGAGTCCCCATTGCATTCCTTGAATGCACATCTCGATAGCTGAAGCCTCTGATAATCGGTCCTTGCAATTCAGGCTTAAATTCCTCCAGCGGTTAATATAGTCAATGACGGCCTCTTCTTTCCACTGGCGAGAGTTTGTGAGCTCGATCATGCTCACTGTTCTTCGGGTGCTGTAGAAGCGATTCAAAAATTCTTGTTCCATCTGACTCCAACTATCAATTGAGTTCGGTTCTAGGTCCGTATACCAATCGAAAGCATTCCCCTTCAACGATCGGACGAATTGTTTAACGAGATAGTCTCCGAAAGTCCCGGCATTGTTACAAGTTTCAACAAAATGTGCCACATGCTGTTTTGGGTTGCCCTTGCCATCAAATTGCTGAAATTTCGGAGGTTGGTAACCGATTGGCATCTTCAAGCCGTCTACTCTTAAAGTGTATGGCTTGGTGTATGTTGACGACGATTTGGAACCCTCATTGAATTTGTCCTTGATAGTCCCCATGATGAACTCCTTCAATTGGTCTATAGGAATCAACCCCTCTGACGAAACCTGGAATTCTTCAGCCGGGCTCTTCTCCCTTTCGATTGGATGTCGCCTTGCAGAAGTTTCAGCTTCGGTGTGATTTTCGCCTTGTTTTCCCATGTCGTGACTACCGTCAACCTTGTCCCGCAACATCGCGATTTGGGAGTCTTGTTCTTGAATGTGCTTTGTTAACCCTTCAATGGCCTTGGTCAAGATCGCCATCTGCTCCTCCATGGTCGTAGCATGTGTCGTCATGACGGGAGCCACCTCAGAGTAGTTTGATGTTGAAAGGGACGTGGATGATGAAGCTTCTCCTCTAGATCCTTCCACGCCTCCACCTATGTTGACGAGAGGTGACGAGCCTTTTTTGATGATTTGGGGTGTTGAGCTAGTCTCGGAGGATGTCTGCAGCTTCTTAGCCATACTCCTTGTAACTACGCCTATGCTTGATGAATTTGAAGTAGCAGCCTTCATCGTGAACGTAGAACAGCTACTAGGATCTTCGAGAGAGAGAAGAGATGAGAGGTAGAGATGTCCCACCGGGCGTGCCAAAATTTGTAACAACAAATTCTTATCTGCGATATAAACAAACAAGAAAAATTGAACAAAGATGATTTTATCGAATTTAAATAAATAAATTGCGAGTTACAATCTCTATTTTAATCCTCTGATTCTTCTCTCTAGAACAATATATAGTTGACTTGAATTTTCGGAGTCGGGTCGTTGACTTGATCTTCTCCGGATTTGATTTTGGATTTGAATAACGTTTTCCAAGGGTCTTGCGACTTTGAATCTCGGATCGAACGTTGAACTTTGACTAAATTTGACTTGAAGATCTTGAAGTTCTTGATGGATTTGGCCCTTCAATCTTCCAATGATCTTGACTTGAATTTGATTAACGTTAATCCGAAGGTTTGGCACCGTTATATCGGATCGAACGCTGGATTTGATGAAGAATGCCTTGAATTTGCTCAAGAACACCTCGAATTTGACGAAGAACACTTTGAATGTAGAGAGAGAATCTTACCTCCTACGAATTCTTCTTCCTTGCTTCTTGAATTGTAGAGAGAATTTTGCTCCTACGATTTCTGCTCTTTCAGTTGTGTTTGAATTGTGAAGGGAGGGTCCCTATTTATAGTGGTAGAATAAGAGTCCTTGATGGGCCTTACTGATGATGTGGCGCGATTTGATTGGCCCGATTAAATTGATATTTATCTCTTGTAACTTGGAAGAGAAGAAATAATCTGATTGGCCAATATATATGAAAAATCAATTATCTATTTAAATTAGGAATTTTTTAATAAAATTCTTAATATTAAAATAGAAAACATATAATTGATTTTTCTTTTAATATATATATATATATATATGGTTTCACGTATTTGATACATATATATATCTTTAATTGAAAATTTGTTCGTCTACAGTCCTTTTTGAATTGCTTAAATTTATGTCTTATTTAGGACTGTTATAGTTATGATTACTTTCCTGCTTTTTGGATATCGTCTTGGTTATCTTTATTTTGTGCCTTGTGCTTGTTTTGGATAACTTTGTGTTGCAGGAAATTTCTCTGTTACAACATCTTTGTGTTGCAACTTCTATCGTACTAACAGTATGTGATGCAGGGGGAGTTAATCATTTCTGCAAAGAGAGAAAATCTCATATGCAGGGGGAGTTCTTGTAAAATATGGATTCTGACCAATCTATGCCAAAGGGGGAGATTGTTGGCGCCATATTTCCGGCTATTGAAGATCGAGGAAATCCGCCAAGTTTTAGAATTAAAAGATTGGCAAAGATTTGTTTTCCATATTTATTTTGGAATTTATTAGAGTCCTATTCTTATAATACTTCTATTAGGACTTAGATTTATTTCCATGTATTTTATTCTAGTTAGATATCTTTTGTACTTATCTAGAATAGAAGAAGAAATCAACTAGGATTCTATTACCTAGTTAAATAGATTTCTTGGGGTTCAAGTTAGGTCTTAGGGTTTATTTTCGTGGCTATATAAGCCTCCAAGACATACAAGAACCGTGGGCATTATTTGGGAGAAAAACCACTTCATAGCATCGAAGCTTTGCCAAGGCGTTCTGCGGAGCAGGACTGTGCCATCGTTGCACTGTGCCAATATATACAGATTTGCTGTATAGATCTCAAGGGAGATCAGCCGCGTTTTCTGAAGGGAGTTCAGGCTTGAAGAAAGTTCAAGGCACGCGGAGTGGAGCTGCTGTAGAGAGAGACACGGAGTTCGAGTTGTGTACAAGAACGGCGTAAAAATTAAAGAGGGAGTCTTTGTTATTTTTAATAAGTCCTATTAATGTACACTGTAAATCTGAACTAGTGAAATCGTGTTTGCAGGTCCACGTGGATGTAGGGCACATTTGTGTCTGAACCACATTAATTTCTTGTGTTCATTTATTTGCTTTAAGTAGTTTATAACTGTGTTAACACAAGAATTATAGTTGTAACCGAATACTGTTTCCACAACTTAACTGTTACAACTTAGGTTAATTGATTTCTATAGGCATATAAATCTACAGTGCGTAATTGAAATATATAGAGGTCAAAACGCAAATTAAAGAAGCAACACTAATAGAGTATAGTTACTCCATATATGGAGTAGATTATATATAAAGGAAGAAACGCACGACAAAAACTGATATCGAGGTCAAGAATTGATAATGAGTTGCGCGCGGCACAATCTGTGGCCTCAATTCCATCTTCAACGCAATTAATATATATTTATTTATACAAGTCGTTGTTCAACCTTTTTTTGTGGCTCTATGAACTTTTTTACTTGCTTTTTATTTTAACCTTTAATTTCTCTGTCGTCTAAGGCTAAGATATATGATGATTATTACTATTATAATGTGCATGCATGTTACCTGGGTGACATCATATATATATGGGTGCCACGTGCCATCTTTAATTTGATTAATAATCTACTAAATATTCTTTTACCCTACCTAGCTAAAACCATATATGCTCCATCTCACTACTGATCAAAGCTGCATGAGTCTCAACATTCATCATCCCTATACAGAAGAGAAATAACAGACATGCATTGGGGGTGTTTCTGACTTTCTCTCTGTCTCTCTCTCTCTCTCTGGGTGTGTGTGTGTGTGTGTGTGTGTGAGAGAGAGAGAGAGAGAGAGAGAGAGAGAGAATTGGAAATGTCAAACATTGGGGTGGGGTTCAAGTGTAGTATCAAGTTGGGCATAAACAAGGTTTAATAAGTAATTGATGGTCAAAGTGAATATAATGCCAGTGAAGCCATACATGCATACATACACAAATTAAGATATAAAACAAATATATATTAGCTAGGTCAAACTTAATTATATTTATATATCATCAACTCAGACAAGACGAGCACCCACCATCTAACTTTTTTCTTACTCTTCTTACAAAAAGTAGCTATGTACTACTTTAAATACTTAGCTGTTTAATTAATTTGTTCCTATAAACCAAGCCATATATATATGTATGTATGCATGTATGTTCCACATTAATTTATGTTCCCAAGCGCATCAACATTGTGTAAGTTAATTTACATTAGTTGTCTTTGAGTAAGTTAACATTCTTTCTGATATATCTTGTCTGCAAAACTCGTGTTCTTCCTTGTCGATCTCGATCATCGATCAGGTGGTCTAATTGTCTCTACCTATCTGTGTGTGTGTGTATATATGATATTTAGGAATCATTATTAGGCGTCATATATCGATCATTGGTGGGATAAATAACTAGAAATGTGGAGGGTGTAGAAAGAAAGATATCAAGTGTTTCAATATTAAACTATATATGAGGGATTGAGTCTTAAAGGTGTAACTGAAAATTAAGTTGGTATTATATCACAACTAACAGATTAATCTTTTTTTTGAAGCTGGAAGCCTAAAAAAAATTAGTGGTATTAAATAGATGTGTATGTGAACATCATGATCAATAATTAATAATATGTATATTCGGGAATAACTTGCGCTGCTATACATTGTAGACGTGGTGTGACAGATCTTCCCAAATGAGTCAACTAGACCCTGTTTTGGCAATTACTCAACTCGATCTCTTGTTATTCTTTAATTTCAGCTAATTAATCATCTAAATCTCTACTTTCTATCTATCTATATTGCTTCTTCTTCTTCTCCAGGTTCTCTTCTTCAATATCTCAACATGACACAAAATTTCGACAGCAGAGCATGGCCCTATATTATTATTATCAGCTCCTTGTTACTCGTTTTTGCCTTTCTTGCAAAAAAAAATAAGAAATCTGCAACGTATTCAAAGTTACCTCCTGGAAGAAGAGGTTGGCCCATCATAGGTGATAGCATCAGCTGGTACAATGCTGTTGCTAGTTCACATCCCCCCGCTTTTGTCGAGAAACAAGTTCAAAGGTATGTATGTACACATAGTGCATTCAAGATCTGCATCATTCATTCCCCTGTGAAGTGATTGATTGATTAGTCTTTAATCATCATTGCACATAAATTAAAGCTTTTCTTGGATATTTATATATATATATATATATGCAGATGAATTATTGAATATGGTTGTTCTGAATGTGAACATGCAGGTTTGGCAAGATATTCTCGTGCAGTCTATTCGGTAAATGGGCAGTTGTATCGGCAGATCCAGCGTTCAACCGATTTGTGATGCAAAACGAAGGGAAACTATTCCAGTCTAGCTATCCAAAATCATTCAGAGATGTTGTGGGTAAAAATGGTGTGATCACAGCACAGGGTGACCAGCAAAGGAAACTTCACTCCATCGCCTCAAATATGATGCGCCTCGACAAGCTCAAGTTCCATTTCTTGCACGATATTCAGATTGTTATTAAACAGATCATCACCAATCTCCATCACAATCAAGTTGTTCTTCTCCAAGATGTTTGTAGGAAGGTGGGTCGGTGGGGGTTTCTTTCTTTCTTTCTTTCTTTCATCCAAATATGCGCTTCTTCTTTTTTTTTAGCATTTCATTTCAACAATTGTAGGTAGCAATTAACTTGATGGCCAATCAACTACTTGGAGTGTCGTCTGAATCGGAAGTGAATGAGATAGCTCAGTCCTTCTCCGATTTTGCGGATGGTTGCCTTTCGGTTCCCATTAAATTGCCAGGATTTGCTTATTCCAAAGCAATGAAGGTGATTGATATATAATAACGCTTGGTCTGTTGTTCTTCATGATTGATTCGTTCTGACAATGTTTTTCTATATATAAAATATAGGCTAGGGAGAGTATAATAAGCAAGATAAAGAGGACAATGGAGAATCATAGGGTAGGGAAATCGTGTCCAGAAATTGGTAATGGTGTATTAGGAAGGCTGCTGGATGAAGAAAGCTTACCTGATGAGGCTGTCGGTGACTTTATGATAAACCTTCTATTTGCGGGAAACGAGACCACTGCTAAAACCATGCTTTTTTCTGTCTATTTCCTCACACAATGTCCCAGGGCCATGGCTCAGCTCATGGTATTTAGTATTTACACTGCAAACATTAACATTAATTCTTCCAAGACATGCACTTTGGCTTTAATTTGTCTTGTCCCACGAAAACAGGATGAGCAGCAGAAACTAAGGAGTGAAAGTGGAGAGATGCTTACTTGGCAAGATTACAAATCCATGCCTTTCACTCAATGTGTAAGTCCCCGTCTTCTTCTTCTTCTGAATTTTCTTATTCTCTCTCTGATCAAACTCTGTTTTTCAAACAGGTAATTGACGAAGCTCTACGCCTAGGTGGCATTGCAATATGGTTGCTGAGAGAAGCCAAAGAAGAAGTTGAATATCAAGGTAAGTATAGCACATTCACGATGACAAGATATTCAACAACAATACTAAAGATCGAATTTGATTCTTGTGCAGATTATGTGATTCCTAAAGGAAGCTTTGTGGTGCCATTTCTTTCAGCCGTCCATTTAAGTGAAAATTTGTACGAGGATGCTCTTTGTTTCAACCCTTGGAGATGGATGGAACCAGAAAACGAGGTTAGCCAATTAATTCCTTTTATTCTTTCTTTCTGTAGACTGAACGAACTAGTTAAAGAGGATTGATGTGTGTATGTATGTGCATGAAAACAAAATGAAATAAAAAAATAAAGGAGAAGAGAAACTGGAGGAGCGGTCAATATTTTGCGCCATTTGGGGGAGGGAGTAGGTTCTGTCCTGGGGCGGAGTTGGCTCGCCTACAGATTGCACTCTTTCTTCATTACTTCCTTACCACATTCAGGTATTATTATTATTAACGTACTAGGAGTGTTCATTACACATTTCAGACAAGATTTTTGCATTAAATAATTCTTCTTCTGATTCTGTTTAAAGGTGGAAGCAGCTCAAGGAGGACAAGATGTCTTTCTTTCCATCAGCTCGATTGGTGAATGGCTTTCAAATACAGTTGACTAAAATAAACAGCTGAAAAACAATGTCGAGGATATATGATTTGTGAACTTATCGAGAGCCTAAGTAATGTTCTCGGTCGGATTTACACTTGTTTTTCAAATACAAAAAATAATCATCATCTGTGAATTGATGATTGCTATTAGACATGGAAATGAATTGCAGAAAAATGGACAAGGCTAAGGAAATAAGTTTGCATGTAAAAAATATGTTTGAATCATTGGATGTTTGAAGGCAAATGCAATCATTAATTAATCAAATGCATACAGAGCTTGTAATAGTAAAATGAAGTGAAAACATCAATAACTGAAACTTGATAGTACCAAGAAAGAGAAGAAATGCAAAGAGAGACCTCATACCTGAAACTTCAACTAAACTCATTGCAACTAAACCTCATACCTGCACAATGTCTGGTTCAAAAACTAATCATCCATATCAAAGATCCTGTTAATAAAACTATTACTCCACACACACTCAGTTCGTCAAATGGCCAAATAACTGCTTTATAATTTAAGACTAACCATAAATAAAAAGACGCATTCGAATAAGTTATGCTGCATGAAACTCATTCTCTTCATCTCTTCAGGAGAAAACTCTCAATTTTCCATTATTTGCACTCACATTACAGATGCCAGATATCAATGGAGCCTTAAAACTCTCAATTTTCAGCATAAATGTCAAATATTTAGACCAATTTATCTGTTACTTATTCCACACAAGTTCAGATATATAACAAGAAAGAACAACGAGCCACAAGGAAATATGCACAAAAATTGACAACAAGAAACCATTTCCTTTATTGTCTAACAATCATACACGAATTGGAGTAATTCAATCAGCCAAACAACAGCTACAAATTAAATAGCACTCTGCAGAGGTCTAAATACAAACACTGGATGTAGAGTTTTATCACATAAAAAACCAAATGCAATTAACAAAAGCAAACTCCTTAGTTCTTCTACGTAGACTAGCACTAGGTGGTAATAACAGGAGTGGAGTTCGTCTGTCTGTGTCTTGTCTCTTCAAAAGACACAGCAAGCAAGCAACCAAGCAAACAACCAACTAACAAAAACCAGCAGCACAACCGATGAGGATGAGGATGAGGATGAGGACTCAACGTACAAATTCATATGCGCAAGACCAAACAACAGCATCAGCATAACAAACCACAAAAGGCTAACTTCTTGAAAGGTAGGTGTATGTTCAATTGGGGTCACCCTCCCTTCGATCGGAGGATTGGGAGGGAGGACCCGATAGTGATGCAAGCAAATTGAGGTGATGCCCCTGTACTTGAGCTATGGGTAAGTAATTACCAACCCTAGCAGCTGAGGCCTCTCCCATTCCGAATGGCTGTTGTTGCTGCTGTTGTTGTTGTAAGAATCTCAAAGAAGCCGAATGTGATTGATGTTGCTGTTGGTGCGAATTATTTGACGCGGCGGCAGCTGCAACCACCATTTCAGGGTGCGGAGGAGCAGCAAAGCTCCAAACTTGACCAAAGTCTGACCTTGTAGGTAGAGCCCAGAACCCTCCAGCAGGGAGGGCAGAACCCATGGCGGCTGAGGCGGAGATGGCGTCATCCTTGGAGAGGTGTTGGTGGTGGTGGTGGAGGTGGTGGTCGTCTTCGTCGGAGCGGAGACGCTTGCCGAGAATGAAGGGGCTGGGGGTGAGGAGGGAATGTGAGAGAGTTTTATGATCAAGAGAGGCGGAGATGGAGGAAGAGGAGTTGCGGGTGGAAGAGGGGGATACGGTGGAGAAGGTGGCGGGGGTAGTGCCGGTGCCGGTGGCAGCGATAATAGAGGGCTCAGCCTGGCGGAGAAGCCACTCAATGGTCTGGCCGTCGGACTTGTGGCCTAGCTCACGGGTGAGCTGGAAGACCCCGGCGGCGTAGATAATGGGCATGCGTATGTGTCGGCCACGGCCGTCGACCTTGCTATGGCGGTCCTTAGCAGGGAGCTTCTTAGCGGACAAGGGGGTGGAGGGGGAGGGGGAGGGGGAGGGGTTGTTAGTGTGAGGCGGATGCTGAAGCCTCTGAGAAGGATCGATAATGGGTCCGTCGGTGGCGGAGGCAGACATAGTTAATTAATTATAAGATGGGCTGTAAAAGAATTGAATTGGGTTGATGTAGGGTTTTGGTTGAATTGTGAAGAATTAGAGGAGACAGAAGAAAGAAAGAAAGAGAAAGAAAGAGAAATGAAAATGGAGGTGGTGTTCGAAATGATTGAGGAGGAACAGCGGCAGTAGCTGGTGGAGACAGGAGGAGGGCACATGGGTGGTGGGCTCCACTCCCTCTGCCTCTGCATACGTACTCCCTCCCAGCTCACTCACTCACTCACTCCCTCACTCCCCTTCCCTTCTATCTCCTCATCAACCTTCCCTCACGCGCCTCCCTCTTTTTTCCCCCTAATAATTTTACTACATTCCCAATCTTTATCCTAAATTACCATTTACATATTTATTATACATTATTATTATTATTATTATTATGGGTGATTGACAAAATATTTATAAATTACGGATTTGGAACCGAATGTGCAATACACAATTATTTATTATGTTACTTATTGATTTAAGCATCAAAGTGGTTTAATTTGGTCAGGCCAATCCTAACACTTGTGTTACTGTGAATTTCACAATTACCAGAGACATGGACGTATGTGGATATATATATGGATCAATTGGAGACGAACACACAGTTGTACTTGTACAGGTGGACAAAATAATTATTATATGAAATTTACCATTCAATAGTAATCAAATTTAAATATATTCATGGCTGCTGCACCTGCACGGCATGCCTCGAGAAATTGACCGCCGCCCCACCACCACCACCACCACGACGACTATTATTTCATAATACACGAGGACGACGAAGACTCTTATTGTTTCTTTCCAGTACCTTTATTTCTTCTTCTTATAAATAAAAATAAAAATAAATAAAAATAAAAATGGTGGTCCAAAGAAGAGCAGAAAAAGTAAGGAGGTGTGTTACTACAACTCCAACTGCAATCCGTACCGGGAAACAAAAGTTACATCAAAATTTGGTCCCTGCAACCATTTCCTTCCTCATTTTATTCATATTCATATTCATTAATTAATTAATTGCAGAATGTGTCCTCTATTAGTATCAAATCCACTTTACACCCCCTTCTGCTGCTTCTGCCTTTCCTCACTTGCCACTTGCTACACATATATCTATTTATTAATTAATAGCTGTACGTACTACCTAGCTCCTCCCTTTTTTATTATTTTTTTTTTTAAATGGTAGATTGATTATTTCCTCTATTGTTTTTAAGTCAATTTTTTAATTAATAAATTATAATTAACCCAATTCTTCTCTGTTTCCACTTATTGGACAGTTATTTTTGGGCCTATTTTGTGGGCCTTGGACATTCACCTCTTCTCTCTCTCTCTCTCTCTCTCTCTCTCCCCAATTCCCATATAAATTAAATAATATATCCTTTCTTCGTTTCCCCAATACTAAAACAAAACAAAAGAAAAGCCCTAGCAAATCAATCAATCAATCTATCTCCAGCCAAATTTCTGTGGGCAATGGCCGGAAGGGAAGTCCGCGAGTATACCAATCTTACCGATCCCAAAGGTACTTTCTTTCTCTCAACCAACTTCGTTAATTTCTTTCATCTATCTAGGAATAATATAGGAATTGATCCTATATTACTTCGTTTGTGGGATGCAGATAAGAAGTTTGGAAAGGGCAAGGACAGAATCGATGACGAAGAAATTACTTTCCAGCGCATGGTCGCCAAGGTTAGGGATCCTGCTTCTCCTTCATCCTTCATTCTTCTTCTACGAATTCCCGGTTTTTTGCCGTTAGAACATTACTTCATCAATCTACGTACCTCTGCACAACAGAACTATGATGGACTTTAAGATTACGATAGTTCACTTCGATAACTCCGAGCCTGATGTCTGTTTCATTTTTTCTATTAGCTGAAATTGTGTCACTCTTGTTTGAGCTTTATATGATGACCTGACCTTAATACTCTTGGTTGGGTGCCCACTATTTTCTTTCTGCATGTTGCTTCCAGTAATTTAAAGTTTAGCAAGTTTCTGATCACATGCCCTGGCAGGGATATTGGCTTCTTCCACTGGGTGTTTGATATGTGCAGATGCAAGAGGTTGCTGGAGAACGTGGTGGCTACCTTCATGGACGAGGCGGTATAGATTCTCATTCTTTTCTTGATATGCAGTTCAATCTTCAATGTGTTTGGAATGAGGGAATTTCATTGGTTTTTGTGCTTTGCTAAGTGTAAATGTGCAGCTTTGGACAGCGATGATTTACTTTATCTCAAGGAGCAGATGGAAGCTGAAGAAGATGCTGAGCGTCTTCTACGCCGTACGGAGAAACGAGCATTTGCTGCATTTAAGATATCCTTCTATTTCACTTCGTCATTTTTACTTTTATCACGTGGTTCAAAATAAGATGTTGATGATGTTAGGTAAGTTAAAATATTAAATGGTATAAATTATCGATCTCCTTAATAGTCTTGTGTACTGAGATGTGGAATTTGTGCACTGATAATTGATTCTACTTTGCACTTTGATTAATGCATCTGTTTGGGGTTTAAACTCCTGGACCAAAAGAGAAAATGTCTTTCCATGCTTTTCCTTAACCACTTATCACAAAGCTGTGGCTGAAGCTTCCCCCACATCAGTTCCCTTGCCACTACGTGTGGAACCCAAGCCCAAGAGTGGGATCAGGTCCCAATTTAATCCCTTTATCAATTATCTATCTCTTTATCAATTTATCTATCTCTTTATCATTTTATCTATCTGACAAAATAAAAATACTCCGTCCTCAGGCAGCAAGACTTACTGAAGAGGGTGGTGGAAGTGAAGCCGAAGAAGCAGATTGTTTCTAGCGCTTGTGATATAGATCCATCCTCTATGATTTTGAGTGGACGTCCATCTAAAAAACATCAACCATCGAGTGATCACGAGGAAAAAGGTCAGTCTTCCAGCCAAGTGGTAGAGGAGACAAAACTGGATAACCCTGTTAAAAGTTTGCTAGCGGCATATGATAGTTCTGATGATGAAGACTGATACAGGAGTGTGGTCTTGCCTTTCCATTTTTCTCATGCTGCAATGCTATATATCTCTCCTCTCGCTACTGAACACTCTGTGAACTTAGATCGTTATCACATAATTAGAATCTGAAACTTTTTCTTACAAATTATAGTTCCTTTTTCTGCTTTAGATCTATTTTCATTTTTCCCCTTTAGACCTATTTCTGCAGTTGGTGTTGGTGGATATTAGAAGAAACAAAGTTGAGGCTGTAAGGCCTTGTAGCCAGATTGATATTTGTATAAATTGTAGTTGATAAAGTTGAGATTATGCAAGCCCGTTGTGTAGATACACATGTTCTAAATTCTAACAACGCAAGAGTGCTGGAATTAAGTAAGTTGAAATACTTTTATGTCTCTGTTGCATTGACCTTACAATTGGTAGTGAATATGACTTCAACAACTTTTTGTTCTTGGTGAAGAAGCTGTATTAGTACGATATTCTTGTGAAGGATTACAACTTTTTGTTCTTGTGGAATTGGAATTCTATCTGGAAATTGATATTTAGTGGCAGTTTGTTCTGATCCAAAGTTTTGTAATTAAGCTGTCAACAGCAAGACATTTCTTATAGGATATTTCTCTCTCCAATGTCTGATTGTTTATATATTCTTGATACATAACATATGGAACACGAACGTGTGTGCCTACATGTAATAAAAAATGTTGGAGAAATCTTTGGTGTAATACATGTTGAAATTGGAATCATTTGCCAAACCTACCTTGCCTATTTCGTCAAAGCTATCTTTTAATAATAAATTAAACATTTAAGTACATATTTTTGTCTTATGCCCTGAAAACCTCAAGTACGCCCTACAATCCTGGCCAGTTGTTTCATGATGAGGGTGTCAGCTGCAGCAATTACCCTATTCATTTTTTGTTTGTTGTTGATATCTGTTGTTGTTGTTGCCTTGGAGATGAACGATTTTTTTCCAGATGAGCGAAATGCTTTGATACAACTGAGAGATACGGTCAACTCCACATCGAACTTGCAAGCAAATTGGACAGGGCCACCATGCATCAGCAACAATCAGAGCAGGTGGGCTGGAATTGCCTGTTCGGATTGGCATGTTGTACATTTGGTTCTTGAAGGAGTACAGCTGACTGGTCCCCTCCCATCTATGTTCTTGCAGAACCTGACATTCTTGACCAAACTAAGCTTGGCAAACAATTTGCTGCAAGGCCCTCTTCCCAATCTCACAAATCTAATGCACTTAGAATTTGTTTTGATGTCGAGAAATCACTTCTCGGGGTACATACCTTTTGGTTACATTGAACTTCCCAAGTTAACCAATTTGGAGCTGCAAGAAAACGACCTCTCAGGTGAAATTCCACCCTTGGATCAGCAATCTTTGATTGGTTTCAATGTCTCCAACAACAAACTTGAAGGACCCATCCCTGCAACTGGTGTGCTCCAGAGATTTCCAATGAGCTCTTATGCTAACAATTCCGCTTTGTATGGAGATATTCCAGGACTAGTGTTAAGCCCCTGTCCAAACGACGTTCCTACTCCAGCGCCTGCTCCTTCATCAAGAAAGACAGAACAAGGTGCCCTTCAATCATGGAGCATTGCTCTAATTGCAGCAGCAGCCATCCTTGTCCCTCTTTCTGCCATCTTTATATTTCTCTGTTACCACGGAAGAGTTTATCGGAGAAAAACAAAAAAAGGCCGAGACTTGCCAGGTAGCTTAAAAGTTTCAGAGAGGAGGTAGTAGGTTGATTGTATGGTAAATGGTGTTTGATAGAGTTTGTTTTTAATGTTGCGGATGATATGCAGGGGAGGTGAATATAGACGGGAGAGTGAGGGGATCGCATTGGTCGTCAGATGATGATGATGAAGAAGAGATAAGTGTGGAATTGGAGTTCTTGGAGAAGAAGCCCATGTTCGACTTGGACGATTTGCTGCGTGCGGCTGCTGAAGAAATTGGAAGGGGGGAATTGGGGAGGACATACAAAGCAATGCTTGAATGTGGTTCTGTAGTGGCGGTGAAGAGAATAAAGGAAATACAAGTGATGAGCAACAAGGAGTTTGTGCAGCATATGCATCTACTGGGGAATATCTCCAAGCACGAAAACCTGACGGAGATAATATCATTCTACCACTCGAAAGAGGAGAAGCTAATCATATATGAATACGTAGCAGATGGCAGTCTGTACAGCCTGCTCCACGGTTAGTTAGTATATGTAGCTAGTAAATGATGATTAATTATTAGTGTACGTATATGTTGAAATTATAAATGAATGGCAGAGAATAGAAATGGAGAAGCACGGGTGGCATTGGATTGGAAAACAAGAGTGAGGATAATAAAAGAAATAGCAAAGGGGTTGGAGTATCTGCATGAGTGCTTGGTTTGTCATGGAAACCTCAACTCGTCGAATGTTCTAATCAAACAGCAATGCGTAAATGAGCAGCAGCAGCGTATAATTAGGGTTAAGCTGACGGATTATGGAATGGAGGGTGTGGTGCCTGCGCATAAGCTGTGGATAAGAGAAACACCAGAGTTTATAAACAGCAACTGCAGGGAGGGGATGATGATGATGAAGAAGAAGAAGCTGACGAGCAATGCGGGTGATGTCTACTGTTTTGGGATACTCGTATTAGAAATAGTGACGGGCAGACTTCCATATTATTCGAATACTCGTGATAGTACAACAGCAGGAGGAGGAGGAGGAGGCGGGGATTTGTCGGGCTGGGTAAGAGCAGCGGTGAACAATGATTGGTCGACAGATATACTGGACATGGAGATAACTGGAGATCATAATTATGTAGATGATATGTTGAAACTCACAGAGATAGGCCTCCATTGCACCAATTCTTCCCCCCACAAGAGACCTACTATCACCCAAGTCTTGGCTACACTACAACATATTGTTTAATTATTTAATTCATTCATTCTTGTTTTTAATTAAGTTTATACGATTAATTATGTTGTGTACAAGAACAAAAACTCTTAGCTTTCAGAATTCTAGTGGATATTATTATTAGTCACTACTTTTCAATTGACACTTTCCAACTTTTTATGTGAAAAGAAAAACAGAAAATACTTGAAAAGAAAGAAAAACGTAAAAGTATACATGTTTTGGTTGTTTGATCAAACATCGGTGGATTGTTATCTGAGTTTTGGTGTAATTAGATAAGCATCATATCATTCATTCAATATTTCTATATACGCTAAGAATTAATGTGGAAATACAAATATAATATATAATATATAATAATATATGATACATGTACGGGATAGCTACACGAAAATTGAGCAACCACCGTATATATTATATAGATAAATGAAGTCGGAAACTAATACAGAGAGAGAGAGATAGACATTAGATAATAGAGTGAAAAATTGGTGTTTAGCTGATGAGCCAACGCATGCAGTACGTGTCGGAATACATGCATTTCATCTACCAAGTGTCCCTTTTTCTCCTCCTAATTTAAACCACCTCAATCACCTCTCTTTCACCATCATACATCTACCTTCTTCTTTCTTCTTCTTCTTCGATTCTCCGCATATACACACACCCATATATTATATACATCGATTGAGAGAAGTTTTAGTATATTTGTTCTAGTATATATATATATATATCGCACCTAATTAAGCAAGTTTGATTTCCAGGCCGAAATCAAGAAAGCGCAACCACGTACATCCAGTAGCTAGCTAGTGAGTGACCAAATAAATAGAGGATCTGTGATTATTAATATATATCGGATCGGATCGGATTGGAGGAAGATGCCTCGCAGGTATGCTTTCGGGAGGGCGGAAGAAGCTACCCATCCTGACTCGGTGAAGGCAACCTTGTCTGAATTCCTTTCCACCTTCATCTTTGTTTTTGCTGGAGAGGGCTCTGTTCTCGCTCTCGGTAATTTATTTATTTATTTCTTGCATGCATTCTAATTCTATTAATTAAAATTCTAATGATGATGATATATATATTTATGGCACGCAGATAAGATGTACTCGGACAGGGCCTTAAGTGCATCGAGCCTAGTGGTGATAGCTCTGGCACATGCATTTTCTCTGTTTGCTGCAGTGGCTTCCAGCATGAATGTCTCCGGCGGACACATAAATCCAGCTGTCACTTTCGGTGCACTTGTCGGTGGTAGGGTCTCCGTCCTCCGTGCTATTTACTACTGGATTGCTCAGCTCCTCGGCGCTGTTGTTGCTTCTCTCCTCTTAAGGCTCTCAACTGACGGCATGGTGATGATTACTATTTCATCTTCATTTACCAACACATTAATCAATTAATTAATTAATTAATTTATTAATCAATTATATACATATATTATGCAGAGACCGGTGGGATTCTCGGTGGCTGCAGGAGTGGGAGGGCTGAACGCGCTGCTGATGGAGGTGGTGATGACATTCGCACTTGTTTACACAGTGTACGCAACAGCTATAGATCCCAAAAGAGGAAGCCTGGGTACAATAGCACCGCTTGCAATAGCATTCATAGTGGGCGCTAATGTGCTTGTGGGTGGGCCTTTCGAAGGAGCTGCGATGAACCCAGCAAGAGCTTTTGGGCCGGCACTGGTGGGGTGGAGGTGGAAGAACCATTGGATCTATTGGCTTGGCCCATTTATAGGTGCAGCTTTGGCTGGTATCATTTATGAGTTTGGTGTCATTCAGTCCGAAGCTGCTCCCCACCTTCCTGGCGGACATCACCAGCCTTTGGCTCCAGAAGATTACTAATTCAGACACATACACACACTCTCTTATGTTATGTGCCTGCGTCAATAAAATAATGAGTACTCATGAATACTTGTTTTGTGTTGTAATAATAATAATGTTGAACCAACTTATAAATTAGCTTCCTCCTCCTCCTGCTGTGTGTGTGTGTGTTTTTTTGTATTCGAGGATGTATTTTAATTTCGTTGCCCAAGTACATTTGAAGAATACCTTCGCTGATTATACTGATTTTGATTGATTCTCATACCGTAGTATCAACTATCCATGCTTCCATTTTGGGTATGTATCATGATGATGAATATTATAATTATTATTGGTAAAGAAAGTCAAATTGGATTCGAATTGCAAAATAACTACTTATAATTGAATATTATAAGAGTTATTTAGGGACCTTGGTGGATATATTGAAATAAATTATGTGAAAATAAGAGTTTTCTACGAACTCAAATACGTAATGAACTGTCTCAGTCTCAAATTAATTCAATTTTAGGCAAGTTTTAGAAAATTAATATCAAATTATAGATAAATTGAATTAGGATTCCGTGAATAGGGTTGTTTCTAAAATTACGAGATCTACTAGAATCAAACTCTAACTATTTTTGGTAATTTTTAGTATTTTCTTGGTTTAATTAGGGTTTTCAGTTTTTTTTAGTATAAATAGCTGCCTTAGGATTTTATTTTGAGATTTTTTTTAATTTTAATAAAATATTTAGAGTTTTCTCTATTTTTCTGGTGGATTATAGAGTTTTCGGTGGATTCTGAATGTTATTTCGTTCAATAAGATTAATTCATAGAAATTAATTCTTTATCGTGATTCCGTTATGCGTCAATTGTCATACAGTAGCGAGGTTTTTCCTGATCAGATGGTGAAAGGTGTGAAACATGGAGACAACTACTACGTTGGCGATGACCGCGGGGTTAAGAAATTGCAAAATTTGCGGTTGGTGGGCGTGGGATTTGCCCTTGACAACAACAACAGAATGACTGAATCTAACATAATGATTGCCAACGGTGTAGCCCGAGGTGTATATATTAGACACAATTATCATGGACCTGTTCAATTTCAATCAATGTATGACGACTATTCAAAGGGGAGCGAAAACTCTGAGTATGAAGAAAACCCGCCTATAAGGAGGCAAAAGGATCGTGATAAATATCGGGTAAGAACTGAAATTGCTTCTTTTAGTGGAAATTTTCTTGAAGTTGAGGATTTTATTGATTGGGTATCAGATGTCGAAAGGTATTTTGAATTGATGGATATTTTGCCGAATAAGATGGTAAAATTGGTGAGGTGTGAGTTAAAGGGTAGTGCAGCCGCATGGTGGGATGGGATATAGTGAGAGGGCTAGACAAGAAAAAGTTCCAATCCAATCATGGAGGAGGATGAGAAAAATGTTGATGGATCGTTTTTTACCCCTATGACTTATGAACAACGTCTATTTCAATTATATCGTAATTGTTCGCAAGGGAGTAGATCTGTTAACAAGTATACTGCTGAGTTTGTGAGACTTGCAAACTCAAATAACCTGCAAGAATCCGAAAGTAAGAAAATTTCACAGTACTTGGCATGATTGAATATTTCAATACGTCTTAGGATGGGGTGGTGTACATTCTACACCCTTGAAGAGGCTCAAGAGTTAGCATGGAGGGAGGAATATTATCAGTGAAATAGTTTTTCTAGAAAAATCGAAGATGTTCCACCCGTTGTCAAAGTTAAGAAGGTACAAGATACTTCGTTCGTTATTCAAGCACCCAGTTAGGTGGAGGATCACGGCGTAGGAATTAATGAAGTTGAAGACAAAATTGTTGATGCGAAAGTTAAAATTAGCGTAGCTATGATAAACGATGATATTAACGAAATCAAGGTTCAGGTCGACGAAGTTGAAGGGACATCAACGAGCTTGAAGCGAGCATCAACAAAGTTGAAGAGAGCGACCATAGAGTAGAAGACAATGTTAGCAAGCTTGAAGAAGAAGTCGACGAGGTTAAAGAGGGTGTTAAAAGTAAATTTGAGGAAGAGTTTGAAGTTGCAGAATTTGTTCAAGAAGATCAGAAGGTGCACGAGAAGAGAAAGAAAGTGAATTGCGTTGAGGTATATGATCTAATTGTAGATAGAGTTTGTGGTGAAGTTCTTGTATCGGAGAAATTGGTGAAGTCATTGGGGTTTTCGATTAAGAAGCCAATTTTTCTAACGCCTCGTTTGGAAGAAGATTTTGTAAGCTAGATTTTTGAGCCGGGAAGATCTGTGGAGCACTTGAAGTTGTTTGCAAAGAAATATGCATCGCTATATATTGATCATAGCTCGAGGTCGAGCTCTTTTGAAGAAAAGGAGATTGATAAGGAACGTCAAATTGGATTCGAATTGCAAAATAACTATTTAATTCGGAGAAGAGTTATTAATAGGCATTGGTGGAAATATCGAAAAAAAAAAATGAAAAATAAGGGTTTTCAATGAACTCAAGTTGTATTTGAGAATGAAACGAACTCTATCTCAAGTGAAACGGTGCAAGGAACAAAAATCATGAGCAAATCTCACGAATCACGTCAAATTTCAGCAAAAACTCCTAAAAGTTCGTTTTTGCTATTTTAGGCAAGTTTTAGAAAATTAATATCAAATCATAGAAAAATCGTATTAGGATTCCATAAATTGGGTTGTTCCCAAAATTACAAGATCTACTAGAATCAGGATCTGACTCGTTTTTGCCGTTTTTGGTAATTTTTAGTATTTTCTTAATTTAATTAGGGTTTTCAGTTTTTTTTAGTATAAATAGCTGCCTTAGGACTTTATTTTGAAAAGAATTTCGAAATTTAATAAAATTTTTAGAGTTTTATCTATTTCCTGGTGGATTCCAGAGTTTTTGGTGGATTTCGAATGTTATTTTGTTCTATAGGATTAATTCGTACACATTAATTCTTTACCGTGGTTCAGTTCTGCATCACTTGGAAATCCAAACAGGAATGGGATTCTAATAGATGTATTAATTCGAATGTTATTTTGTTGGGCAAATGGCAAATAGGCCCATGACCAGAACACTTAATTAAAAGAGAGACATCTAACTTTTTTGTTTTTCAAATAAATCCAGCCCATTCAAACTTATTTGCAAATAAGGAAAATCCTTTTATATATACCAAAATTACCCTCAATTCATTGAAACTCAATTCAACTCCAATTTCATGATTTACACCCCAATTTAGCCAAATTTCACCAATTAACTAATTTTTGAAATTTTTTTTTCCGGTAGGTTAACCGCCGTTGACCGCCAGGTCTCTAGCGTTGACTTTTTTTTTTTTTTTTTTTTATAATTTTTTTTCTTAAAAAAAAACATTTTAATTAATATTACTGTCTTGGCTGCTAAACTACTGTCTCCAGCAGTTATTTATCTGTCGAAGACAGTAATTTAACTGTTAATTGACTTTTTCTTTTTTTTTTCTTCAAAAATATTTTAATTAATATTACTGTCGTGGCTGCTAAATTACTGTCTCCAGCAGCTATTTAAATGTCGGAGACGGTAATTTAATAGTTAATTATATTTGTTTTCTTTAAATATTTTAATTAATATTACTGTATTTGTTGTTAAATGACTGTCTCCAACAGTTATTTAAGTGTCGGATTAATTGATTTTTTTCTTAATTTTTTTTTAATTAATATTTACTGTTTTGGCTGCTAAATTACTGCCTCCAGCAGTTATTTAACTGTCGGAGACAGTAATTTAAATGTTAATTGACTTTTTTTTTCTTAAAAAAAATTATTTTAACTAATATTACTGTTTTGCCTGCTAAATTAATGTCTCCAACAGTAATTTAACTGTCTGAGACAGTAATATTACTGTATTAATTAATTTTATTGTCTTGGCCTGCATTTTTGATGTGCTCAATCGAAATATTATTGTCTCCGACCGTATTACTACTGTCTCATGCAATAATATTACTGTTTGGGACAATAATATTAATAATATTACATTCAGGAAAATAATATTCATAATATTATTGTCCCAAACAGTAATATTACTGTCCCAAACAGTAATATTACTGTATGAGACAGTAATTTAGCAGCCACGACAGTAATATTAATTAAAATATTTTTTATGGTTTTCGGGTTTTCGAAAAAGAAAAAAAAAAAAGTCAACGCTGGAGACCGGCGGTCAACGGTGGTTGATCGGTCGAAAAAAATTTTAGAAAAAAAAAAAATCAACGCCAGAATCTTGCCGGAAAAAACAAATTTCAGAAAAAAAAAATATTTTTTCAACAAATTATTAAAATGGGTGTTAATGTGATATATTTGTTTGAATCCGGGGTCAATGTGTAATATTAAAGAAGTTATAGCATAATGGATGGAATTAACGAAAAATATATAATGGATGGTATTTTTGACTAAAGACATGGGGATGTGTGTATTTAAAAGACTGTTTTTTTTTTTTTGTATCAATATGCATTTAAGTCCCTTGAGATGGACCTTTTTGTCATTCGCCTTATTTTATTTGTTTTCATAGAGCTTTTATTAGAACTATGGGCCCAGCCCAGTCCTGATCATTTACCATTAGAATCAAACGAGCTAGGTACGTAGCGTAGGGACTCATCGCCATAACGGGCTTCATTTACAAACTCATTTTATTATATTATTCCGCCCAAGTCATCGGAATATTCATAACTTGTGTGCATGTGTACGGTACTAATTATGTAATTAATTCTTAATGGATATACAATATATATCAAGACATGATCCATCATAAAAGCAATTAATTAGACCACCGATTGAAATGAAAAACGTAGTCAACAACCATGCATATTGTGAATATGTACTTATTACAACTTATATATATATATATGTGTAGTACGTAAGTACGTACTCACTTGGACTATAATTAATTATAAATGTGAATATTACTCTAACTTAACAATTTCTTTTAGACATACATGAGCTACAAAGTAAGGCATGTGTAGTGTGTACGTACATATATTCTGATCAGTGAGGTCACTAGCTTGTCTTGTGTATCCACCGATCAATACGCTAGAAAAAAAAAAGAAAAAAAAGAAAAAGAAGAAGAAAAAAAGGAATTAAATATGATCTCTTAACCTGCTTTAATTTGGACGACTTTAGATTTTGTTCTTAAACGGACAAGTCAAACCGCTTGACTTATTGACATTCAATCGTTGTCATTTCTATCTATTCATCATATCAATGCTAATAATATGCTTACTACCATCATGTAATACTTACTCCTACAATACTACAAGTACTGTTACTTATACAATTTAATTAATTTAATTGAGTAGCTAGTGTTTTCTGCATGCATAATATTATATGTATGTATGTTTAATTTGTGATAAATTAAAGTTGTAACTAATACAATGAAGAATGAATTGATAAGATTTGGCAGCTTATTAAAATTGTATGCATGGGTACTTACTGTTAGTGGGATGACCAAAGAATTGAGGCTAAATTTGGGTGGCATCGAACTTTGGCCTTAATTAAAGGAAACGGCACACATACGTACTACTCCTGCTTTACCAATTAGTGTCCTTTCTGGTGAGCAGATATATCATTGCTGCACGGAAACTATGTAGTAAATTAAAGAATTAAAAATTTCTTTCTTTCTTTTTTATTTATTACTTTAATAAATAATATAATGCCAAACATATGATGATGAGCGCAATTTAGGAAAATATATAAAGAGTCAATACTAATGACGTTACGTACCAGCAACCGAATTAAAAGAAGCAGTGCAAAATTAGTACTCTATTTCCTCTCATTTCTCTCTCTCTCTCTCTCTCTCTCTCTCTCTCTCTCTCTCTCTCTCTCTCTGTCTTTGGATTGAAAAAAAAAAGAGAAAAAAAAAAAATTAAATTGTATTTAATGGATGCAATATGAAATGGGGAATGGGTCAAAGTCACGTGCGATGTGTGTGTAGCAATCTGCAATTATTTCATATTCTCTAATAGTTAATACATTTTTTTGGAAATCCCAAATAAAGACAATGATGCTGCTGTAAGAGGGAAGACTTGTTATAATTCATCATCATCATCATCATCATCATCATCATCATATAATTCATTAATTAATTTTTTAATTGATCCTAGTACATACATGTATCAATCGTCTGTTAATAATAGTAGCTAGTAGTGTAAACATGTTTGCCTTGATATACACGTTGTCTTCCACTAGTCCACCTTTACAGTCACTCACTCACTCGTTTACATTATCACTCTGCCTATATATATCTCTCTCTCTCTCTCTCATATACTCTCACTCATCCCATTATATTCTTGTATTCAATCCCACTTTATTATAATTTATATCATACAGTTATATATGGCTGGAATAATTACAATACATTCTTCCAAATACGGCCTACTACATCTACTACTAATTGTGGCATTAATCTGGTTCAGTGGAACTCCAGCATCTGCTAGACATCCCAAGTTGAATCACCACCACCACCATGTTCCTAAAAAGTTCTCCGAAAATGGCCTTGGCCTAACTCCACAGATGGGGTAATTATTTAATTAAGGACCACTATGATTATCGATATAATATTTTTTTTTTTATTTTTCATCTAATACTCTTTGTGTGGTACGGTATCACTCCCTACAGATGGAACAGCTGGAATCATTTCCAATGTAATATTGAAGAGAAGTTGATTAGGGAAACAGGTGAGTGAGTAAGAGTAAGAGTAATCATACATACATACATACATACATACATACATTATTATTTATGTTTATGTGGTAATTAAGAACATATAATTTAAATGATATTTGTTGTTTTACTTGTGCAACAGCTGATGCAATGGTATCAACTGGGCTTTCTGCACTTGGATATGAATACATAAACCTTGGTACACAACTTCTTTATCATCACTTTCATTTCTTCATTTTGCTTGCCTCTCTTTCTTTCTTTCTTTCTAAATTCTGTTTTCTTGTTTTCTTGTTTTCTTGTTTTCACCTTCTCAGATGATTGCTGGGCAGAACTAAACAGAGACTCTCAGGTGTGTATATCATATATTTATATATAGAGACACACACACATATAAGCGGCCTTCTTTCTCAGACGTTATTTACTTTTTGATGTTTCTTTTTTTGACAAATAATTATCCATGAATATGTGACGCAGGGGAATTTCGTAGCAAAAGCCTCTACATTTCCTTCAGGAATCAAAGCACTGGCAGATTATGTTCATGGAAAAGGATTAAAACTTGGGATCTACTCTAGTGCTGGGTAATTAATTACATTATATTATGCCTACCCTCACTTTTAATTAATGTACATTAATTAATTTTGTACTAATCTTCTGATTAAAATTGTTGTTGGTAATTTGCAGAACTCAGACATGTAGTAATCAAATGCCTGGATCTTTAGGATATGAAGAACAAGATGCAAAAACTTTTGCTTCATGGGTACGCACGCTTATGGATTCTCGAGATTACCTACATTTTTACTTTTGGACATATATCAGTTTATAGTAAATTTTATTTTTCAAATCAAAACAGGGGATTGATTACTTGAAGTATGACAACTGTAACAACAATAATATCAGCCCAAAGGAAAGGTATAATATTTTTTGAACTTGTGCATGCTAACTAAATTGATTTGGACTGTAATCATTTATTTGGTTGGTGAACAAGGTATCCTGTAATGGGAAAGGCTTTACTGAATTCTGGGAGGTCAATCTTTTATTCTCTGTGTGAATGGTGAGTTATTATTGTTTCAATATTAATAGCAATCAATCATAATTCATAATCATGATGAACACTAAAACATTCTCTATCGTTACTCATTGCTTATTGTGAAAATAACTCAAAATATTCATCTTCCAAATTTGATAGGGGACAAGAAGATCCTGCCACTTGGGCCAAGTCTGTTGGGAACAGTTGGCGAACAACTGGAGACATTGTTGATAACTGGGACAGGTGAAAGCAAACATTACTTACACCTTCAAAAACTATATATATACATATTCTTCATTGTGTGTATTTCACAAGTCTGATTTCTTGCATTTTACTCTTCAATTTAATACCTTTGCAGCATGACTTCTCGGGCAGATATAAACGATCAATGGGCATCCTACGCTGGCCCGGGTGGATGGAATGGTCAGATTCTATTTGATCATCTTCATATCATCAAAATTTTAAATTTGGAATAACGAGTTAAAAGAAAGAAAAAATAAAATAAAAGGATTGATAACAGAATTAGCCATTTGGTGTTTTGCCTTGTTAACAAAATTAAATTGTTAATCTAATCTTATGACTCAATTTTGCGATGATTATGGTAGATCCTGACATGCTGGAAGTTGGAAATGGTGGGATGACAACGGAAGAATACCGGTCACATTTCAGCATATGGGCATTAGTGAAAGTAAGTGATATAGTAGTAGAGTTGATAAGTGAATTTTTTTTTTCCAGGTTGAGTCATGACTACTCTAACATGCATGCATTATAAATGTTTTCATGTGTGGGGAATCAGGCTCCTCTGATAATCGGGTGCGATATTCGGTCAATGGACAAAACGACACTGGCACTACTAAGCAATAAGGAAGTTATTGCGGTCAACCAGGGTAAGCAAATTCAAGATTGAGCAAAACACTAGCTAATAGAATACAGTTGGACCAATATAATTCATCCTGACCTTGTTTGCTGTGGATAACAGATAAACTTGGTATTCAAGGGAAAAAGATTAAGAAAGATGGAGACTTGGAGGTAACACTTGCTGCTGAAACTAATTCAATTCAATATTATTTAGCATATTTATTACATGTATTATTAATATGGGTGGGCAGGTGTGGGGAGGAGCCCTTAGTGAGAATAGAGTTGCTCTAGTTTTATGGAACAGAGGATCTTCACAAGCGACTATCACCGCTTACTGGTCAGATTTAGGGCTTAATTCAACAACAGTGGCCGATGCAAGAGACTTATGGGCGGTAAGAGCTGAAGGAAATCCACACACACACACACACACACACACCAAGGATTAATACCTTAATTACTACTAATACTCAATTCTAATCTCTTTGAGTTTGTGCAGCATTCGACCCAAGCATCAGTACAAGGACAAATCTCGGCTACTGTAGCTTCCCATGATTGCAAAATGTATGTCCTGTCTCCAAAGTGACAAATGTTGAGCTACTTACTCAGTCCTTATACGCATTACTTGTGATGGCTGATATTATATCTAAGTTGTGATGAAAAAATCTTATCAAATAGATTATTATTATTATTATATTCTCTTCTTCCATGACTAACTTATCCTAACCAACTTACCGATCAAAAGTCCGTTTTGATCTATATATTTCACATTTACCGATCAAAAAAAAAAAAAAAAAAAAAAAAAAAAAAAAACTTATCCTAACCAACTTACCAAAATGGCATACATTTCATGTGTTGTGTGGGGTTGATTATGTCTGGAGCAATATCACGTTTTATTTTGAAACTTCTCTTCGCCCACACCAAAATGAATTTGTCATCTTGTAATAACATTCCAATCATCTAAATCTGAGAAAATACACTCTCTATCATAATGCTTGTAAACACCCAAGTCTTTTTATAGTGCCATTTTTTTTGTAATATAAATTTTGTACATCTGGATCTTCTCTTGACCCAAAATGAATCCCCTATCCTAAAACAAATACCAGGAATATTCCTTAAAACAAATTAACCAGAGAGTTGTAGACACTCTACCATCAAGTAAGGTAATTGGAATGTTATTTACTGCAAATACATACATCATTATTATCATGGTCCCCTCATCCTCTCGACAAAACTTCTTCCCTTTTCTTCAATGGTTCGCCTCTTCACATCAAGCTTTTCTCCCACTTTCTTTCCCAAACCACGCATACGTTCTCTTGTACCTATTCTTCTTGATCTCGTCTCATCATCTTCTCCATTATAATTTTGTCCCTCTGTAAAGACCCTTGATGGAGAATGCCACCAAATATCCTGTTTATTATTATTATCCTCTGAGCTTCTTGAGCCAAATTCTTGCATTTTATCCTTGTCCAATAAAGGGGCTCCAAGTTCTTGGAAAGAGCTGCTCTTCGATGTTGAATCAACTATGGAACTTGATGAAGATGCAGAGCGGTCCAAGGATTCACATGCTACTTCTGGTATACAACCACCACGGTTGACTTCTGACTTGGTGGGATTTCTAAGATTTTCTTCAATAGCATGTGTTACTTCCACTGGTTGGAATGAAGGGGCTTCTCGTTTTGTACTAGTACTAACAGAATCTTGTCGTTTTGTACTAGCACTAACAGAATCTTGATCAATTTTATACCACATGAATGGAGCAGCTTTTCTAGGTACCCAGTCATCTTTCTCCGCCAACATCCAAGGTATGCCGACACTCTCACTGTTCGGGAGCACCAAAGTGTCACGAATTCCCGCCTGAAACAAAGATTGTGGAGAATTCTAAAACCTGAAGATAATGAACTCTCTTATCGACAGCAAGTTAATTCCATAAAAGCAAAACGCCAGCCTAAAATACAATCTGATCCTAAGGGAAGTTGAAAGTTCAGAAAAATGCACAAATTCTACTGGGAAAATAATTGCAATTCATGAACCTATATCCATATCCACAACTAGTTCAGATAAATTTTCATACAAATGGTACATTTTTTTTAACAATTTGGTGGTTAGAGATACAAAATCAAGCACCGGTCAACTATTTTATCAAGAATATAAATCCTAGACTAATCACATGTCACACTAGCTCAGTGATCTTTGTTTGCACTGCATCGTCCAAGTCATGAAATAAATGCTTATATATTAGTTCGAGGATACTAGGGAGTCGAGATTTCAGTTCATGGGATACACAACCAATTTAGTAGTCCAAAGAACCATAATTTAGGTTCAATCACTTACTCAACTTGTTATAATAATAGAGATACAATGGTCAGTCTATCCAGCAATTTGGCATATAGGTAGAATTTTCGTTTAATTTTATCTTTGGGGAGGGAGGGAGGGTCTTCAATTTCATTTCAGAAAATGACACCAACTGTCCCTGCACCCAGTATACATGATATTATAGAGGGATAGAAGGATAGAGTTGAAGTTGGACACATAGTTACATAAAATGTGTTCGGGTATTATTACCACCACCACCATGATTCAGGTTAAATACGGAATAAATCGGGGATTAATAATTCGTTAAAGATCTTATAATTGGCTTTCTAGGATCTACAACTCAAGGGTTAAGATTTTCTCGGCCTTCACCAACCCAGTGAATTTGGAACATGAAGAAATTATGGCAATTGGTATGTTCAATGCAAATATATCATTCAAGTACATTCTACTGAAAAAAAATGTTCATTATACTGAAGAAAGTAAGTGTGTGTGATATAGGTAAAGGATCTAACCTTGATTCGACTGATCAGGAACAAAGCAAGATGCCCATTTGTAATTTTGTGGTCCCCAACAAAAGATTCCAAATCAAACTGAATATCAGGCATAGAGGTAAAGCCAAACCATATTTGATCTGAAGGTGGTGGCTTCATGCACAACCTAATTGTTCCAGAAAGAGAAGAAATCCTTATCCCCAATGAGAGACCAACCTTCAATAAGTGAAGAACAGTCAGGTTAGAAAAATACAGAGTTTTCCCCAATTTGGTTGCACTTCATTTATTATGGGTTCTTCAGAAATCGATTTTCAACACCCACAAAAAAAAAAACGTTTATCATGTAGTTCATCACTGTCAATAGCTTTCTTAACTATTATGGTGTTATTTATTATTCACTATATCATACATGTCCATTAGTATCCAGATTTCGGTCTAATGCTTGTGTTTTACCTTTATAAGAACTCACCCAATATCACTCTAACCTTCAATAGCTATATAGACTTTGTTAAAAAACTTTTGCTGGTTGCATGATCTGTTCCAGATTCATAGACAAATAGCGCATGGTTTTTAAAACTTTGCAGCAACTGATTAAATGCATAGGAAGAAAACTTTGCATTGTTGAACTAAAACACCTTATCTGCAGCCTACTTATTTGATGCTTCTTAAGACCTTATTTGAGACTGGACGGAATATATCGAAAAAAAGAAACAAAAGGAAAGAAAACTACGGAAAATCATATAACCTGTTTAAAAAGAAATTTGATAATCACTAACAAGCACAAGATGTGAATTTCCATCCCATGTAATGACTTTAAAAGCAAACTTACAGAGGCAGGTAACTTAAGAAGTGAATACACAACAATAATGAGCTAGACAAGATAAAATGTATTCACAAACCTGTGACACCTGTTTCTTGATAGAATGTAATATAGACTTCCATCTCGACCCTTGAGACGATGCATTTGCCGTGCTTTTCAAAATTTCAGTCTCATCTGCACAGTAACAAAGTTGAGAAAAGCTGCGAATGATTTAGAGAGGTTAATGAATTTCTCAGTGAGATACAAGACATCGGATACTAGAGTGTAAAAGAACATTCAAAGAAAATTGAACAAAATGAAATGACCAAGTAAAACCCCTTCATCACTAAATCATAATATTTATCTCTCCTAGAACCCTGGTTCCAGGAAAAGCACTTGGTTTGAAGAAGGAAGGATCGTCTTTTACTTCAAACAGAGGACGGTAGACATTCTTCAAATGATAAAATAATACCATACAATCATTGCAATCACATTTCAATTTCATAACATTTTTTTTTGTATCACAACAAACTTATACTCTACAATGCTAGTCCATGTTCTATTGCAACTGTTAATTTATTTATAAAAAGAAATGGACCTTCAATAAATTTTGATAACCAAAATACCAAATGTAACCCAGTAGAAAGTCAATGTTATCATGACGGGACATGCGTTATGACATTGAATTGTGCTGTAAGAAGCTATATATAAACATTGACGATGACAGAGAAACTTAAATGTTCATTATTACACACATCCAAACTAATATCTTACCCATTAAACGCATTAATCTTTAGTACTTTTCGAGTAAGAGATTTAGTAAAAAAAAAAAAAAAAAAAACATGTCTTGAGCATGAATTTTATAGAGTACAGCATGATAGTACATCGGTAAAAGTGGATAAGGAATTAAGTCAAATGTTCAGTTTCACACCTGTGTCGTTATATCCTGCATCTTTTTGTTTTGTGTCACTGGTTATATCTTCAGAAAGATTCAATTGTTTGCCAAGATACTCAAAACTTTCCAGCAAATCAGAGGTGACCTCATTATCAGTGTTCACTTGGAAACGTGTTTCCTCTCCTTCAAATTCTAATTCTCGAATTTCAAGCCTTGTTTCAAAGTTCAGGAGCATGCCACCTAAATATTCCACGTCAATTTCCAAGGACCATACCTCATTCATATCCGAGGGAAGGACCCTTGCTGCAAGGATGCGTGGAGGAATAGTACCAGGATCCACAGCTGTACATGTGACTTCACCAATGTAATTCGGGATTCGTATATTGGATAATGCTCTCTATTGCAATACAAATACAGAACATAGTTGGTATATATCAAACACAGTTTACACATCAAATTAGAAATCACAATCTTAAATGTAACATCGTTTCAGATAGCCCCATACAGGGATCCTATTTTAATATATTCTTTAAGACTTACATAAACAAAAAAGCCAATGAGAACTCATTATAAATGCCTTTATTTATATACCAATCTGTAACTTTTCTTCTTGAGCTGCTTTTAGTAAAAGACTTTTAATAAAGAATAATATTTTTTTACAGCTGGGCAGCTTGAACTGTGAGTTCATTTAATTACTAAGGCAGGCAAATGTACATTGAAAACCGAAATTGTAGTGAATCTTACAGAGGTGGGCAAATGTACATTCAAATTTTACTCGCACGTATATGACTTCATACATTTTCAGTTTCTCTATTTTTGGCTAACATTTTTACCATAATTTTTAACGAAAAATCGTACTGTACTCTTATTCGTATTAAATGACAAATCTTTATCATCTTGTAACAAAGTTATTTCATTTGCGATTTAAAGTTAGCTATAGATGATGCATCATGTAAACATCTAACAGGTAGGATAATGGGAGTGAGAATAAATACATCACAAACCTGAATCCGACTATGTAAGGAACTCATTATCTGAGGATTATTCTTGACATCAAAGAATAGCCGCGATATTAATAAATTCAAGCACAGGGTTCCTTCGTCCAAATTATTGTGGTTGGAGTCTGATTCAGATAAGCCAGGCTCAGAAGAAGTGGAAATGGATGGCCCCATGCTAGTGTCGTCAAAAGTGTTAGGAAATTTCCCTTTCGTGTCCATTAAGTCTTGAAATGAATGGGATTTTTCACTTATTTTTCTTTCTTCACGGCCTGAAACTGAAATCCCGCTTGCTTTATAGTCTAGTCCACTCTTAGAAGCCTTTTTAGTAAGCTTCTTTAGGAATTGACGAACCTTTGACGATGGATTATCAAGCTTAACTGACTTATCATTTGATACAGAACTTTGACCTGCAGAAGGCTTCATGAATGAAGGATATCCTGCATTTAGTGATGCCAGGTAATAGTGAAACTCCAGACTTAGTTTGGAGAACCAGGTAATTTTTTCCTCATCATCGTATGAAGCAAGACGAAGGGCTTTACACCAGGATTCCTTCTCCCAAGATGTCTCAAGATATATATAAATAATGTTAGATCCTTTATATATGGCTAATTTTTTGCTCTCAACTTTGATGGGATACTTCTTGGCCCTGATATCATGAAAGAGAAGAAATTTAAGTTGGGCCTTGTATATAATTGCGAGATAATATTATTTGAAAGTTACCATTTTCTCGATGACAAGCTTGTGGCAGAAACAGCAACAACTGTGCAGCCCTTAAGTGAAATTTCCACAGACGAATCATCTGACTCCATTAGGATAAGATGTTGATCTCGAATTCTAGCATATTTCCGGATAGGTGTAACCTCCACGAAATCTTTTCTCTTCTTTTGTTCTGTTGTCTTTTTGTCCTGAAGCCCAGATTTTGGAACTTTATCTGGTTGAAGAACCCATAGAGCCCCCTAACCACAAAATAGGATATTTGAGAAATAAGAGCAGATGGATTGACTACAACTGTAAAGAAAATAATAATTTTTAAATGATAAAATTTCTGTTAAGAACAGAGGCTAGGTACTAGGACAAGAAATGAGAACCATCCTCTTATACCATAGGGATATACTAAAATAGGTACAGAGGGAAAAAATACAGGATAAAAATCACCATTGCTCTTCATGGAAAATACAGCGAACAGAAGAATGATGAAGAGGAGGGCTAAAGAGTTCTAACATTTGAAACTGAAATAGTTTCACAAATTTGAAGTCATCATCAAACAGGGTATATATTGTTGGCTGGATAAAAACAACATGTGGAGATAAAACCGACGTAGTAGATAACAGTGTATACAATCATAATACCAGATAAGTGTCACAAAAATGAGATCAAGGATAATCAAGAGGAGTGTAAATGAGATGAGGATACCTGCTTATCCGACAAGGAGGGGTTGTGGTCAACAGGAAAAGAAACGGAGGGCGTAGTATTGGATTTAGTCTCTTCCCTTTTGACTTTTAGATTTAAACGGCGAATCAAAATCCACAGTCCGGCGACCTCCAAAGCAACAACAGTTAGGGCCCCAATTACGAATGCTAACACCAAAAGCAGCGCCATACTTGCATCAACAACGCTCGCTCGCTCGCTCGTCGATCACAATCAGTGTCAATTTTTGTGCGAATGAATTGCATGCGGATTCCGATTTTATGACCTGCAATTCATTGATTCATGATATTCGGGAATTTAATCCTTGATAAAAGCGCGTCTCATCTTTCAGCTTGGAACGTTTCTGTCTCACAATTTGGATAAATTATTATTTAGGAGAAAATACCAAAATGTCCTAATTCAAAAAAAATCCTAAATTATTTATCCCAAAAATACCCTAATAAATATTCCTCCATCCAAATCATCATATACTCCAAAAGATATTTTCCAAGGAATAAATTACCCTTCACTAAATATAATTTGTTTGATTAAATAGAATATAACTAAATATATTTACAATAACTAGTTTCTTATAATTGGACATCATCAACGTAACCCCCTCATATTATAGTATAAAAAGAACAACACTATGTCCCCCATATTATAATTTGAGTAATAGTATTTTTTGGTACAAATTTGAAGAGGTATGTACGATACATACATACTTGAAAATGAAATTGAGTCAAAAAGTAGTACAAGAGAATTAAGTGGAATTTCGTAAATGAATACAACTTATATATATAAACACATATCTATAGGAGATGTTTGATGTAATCTAACATACAAAAAACGAGGTAACTTTGTAACGTGTCCTTCCATTGGTTTGTATTAATAATAATATTACTAATATATTGGAAAATTTAATATACCAGCTGGTTTTGTAAATTAAAGATAAATATGAATTATAATAGACGGATAAATTAGTAAATTTTTGAAAATATATAATTTGAATATTTGATTTAGGTAATGAAGTAAAAAAAAAATGGTTGAAAAAAGATATAGAGAGTGGGGGATGGGGTGAGTGATGGAGGATACGTATGAAACAGAAGAAGATGATGATGATGATGGATGGCTAACAAATTGAAGTGCCAACCCAACCTCCTCCTCCTCTCTACTGCAAGTCTGCAACCCTCTTAATGTTTAAATTAATTGTACATTAAATGCTTCTACCAACATCTACCTGTACATATTTAATGACCCCTCACCCCCACCCTCTCCTCTATAATGGTGGTGTTTTATTGGATTATTACTTTGAGTTTTTATTCTACATGTTTTATACCTTTGGAAGCCAAAACAATGGTGCGTGCATATATCTGCCGCAGCTTTTGAAGATCAACCAGAGACAGCAACAAACCATTTCTATACCTGCGATGATCATTAGTATTTTGCGTGCGTGGGTGGTTTTGTACAATAACAACCTCTCCTGATGCTGCTCCTACTGCCCAGTCAAAGTCAAGCTCACAACATCTGCGTGTTTATCATACACAATCCATTTTTTTGGGCTTGTTATGTAGCAGCATAAGTTTCTTTCTTTCTTTCTGAATATATATACAATATACACACACATAATCCAAGATGAAGAACAGCTCCTCCTCCTCCTCATCATCAGCTGCTGCTGCTGCTGCTGAGGTTGTAATGGAGATCGAGGCTAACAAGCCATCTGTCAATAACGGTCTTGTAGTTGTAGGAGGTCTCAGCCCTTTGAGTGAGAGCCTTTGGAAGGAGAAAACCAATACAGAGTTTGTGGGTGATGTTTCTGCCAGGCTTGCTTGGAAGGATCTAACCGTGGTTGTCACTCTCAGCAATGGAGACACCCAAAATGTTTTGGAGAAGCTTTCTGGTTATGCCGAGCCTGGTTCCTTCACTGCACTCATGGGCCCTTCTGGATCCGGCAAATCTACTCTCCTCGATGCCCTCTCCGGCCGTCTTGCTGCTAATGCCTTCCTCTCCGGCACCATTCTCCTCAACGGCCGCAAGGCCAAACTCTCTTTTGGCACTGCTGTGAGTACTCCTATTCTTTTATTTCTCTGCTTCTCAATTTACCTTAGCTTGTTGAATATTCTCCTCAATTAATTAATTACTCAGGCATATGTTACACAAGATGACAACTTGATCGGCACTCTCACTGTACGTGAAACTATTTCATACTCAGCACGACTGCGTCTTCCTGATAGGATGCCCTGGTCAGACAAACGAGCTCTGGTTGAGAGCACAATCATCGAAATGGGGCTTCAAGATTGCGCAGACACTGTCATAGGAAATTGGCACCTGCGTGGTGTTAGTGGTGGAGAAAGAAGAAGGGTTAGCATTGCACTTGAAATACTCATGAGGCCCAGATTACTTTTCCTTGACGAGCCAACCAGTGGACTCGACAGGTTCTATTTTCTTACCCCATTCCCTCCTCTCTTATTCCACTAAATATACGACTTTTTTTTTGCCTGCTGTATCATGATGTATCTGTAATTCTTAGCTATTGTTTGTTCAATTATATTACTTTTGTTGGTTTCAGTGCATCAGCATTCTTTGTGACACAGACATTGCGTGGGTTGTCCAGAGATGGACGGACTGTCATTGCCTCGATTCACCAGCCTAGCAGTGAAGTTTTTGAGCTCTTTGACAGATTGTATTTACTTTCTGGTGGAAAAACTGTCTACTTTGGTCAAGCCTCTGAAGCATATGAGGCAACACCTCTTTCAAATTCATTTCTCTCTCTCTCTCTCTCTCTCTTTTTTGTTTTTTTCATTTGAAAGACATTTTATATAATCTTAATTATTACCTGATGAGAGAATATCAATTGGTGCATGCAGTTTTTTGCACAAGCTGGTTTTCCTTGCCCTGCTTTACGAAATCCATCTGATCACTTTCTCCGGTGCATCAACTCTGATTTTGACAAAGTCAAAGCAACACTAAAAGGATCCATGAAAATCCGGGTATTAGATTCTTTCTCTGCAATTAATTTCTACCAAAAGCTTCATATTAGGACACTCAGACACATTTGAGGCATTCAAACTCAGATGATACTAATTTGCAAGTTACATCACGTCAAAGATAGTGCACATATATGCTATAATGTGATCTAGTGTACATGTTTACTTTCTTATAGGTACTTTTATGATAGAACTTAAATATTATGCAGTCAGTGATTAGCAGTGATGTTATAGTTTAATTATGCAGATACTTGGCAGGAAATCTTGAGATAATAATATTTTGAGGAAATATTATATGTATGTGCCAGCACATCTTAGCTGAGACGATTGCATCGAAAGACCTTCATTAAGGAAACAGTAGATTGTGGGTGTTGTGTGTAACTTTCTTGCTTCTAAGGATATGTAGAAGATTGACTATCTAGCAACATTAATCCATGGTTTCTCTAATTACAAAAATGAACAGATGTTGTGTGATATGTATTTTGAATTTGTTTTTACACTTGATATCTTTGATTGACAGACAAACTCATTTATATATATTTTTTCTTTCATTTATTTTTTTCCCCAATCAGTTTGAGTCCAATGACGATCCACTAGAAAAAATAACCACAGCGGAAGCTATTCGGACACTTGTCGGCTCTTACCAGACTTCTCAGTACTGTTTTTCCGCAAAAGAAAAGATTGAAGAGATATCGAGAATAGTGAGTCTAGTTTTTACTTTTCATGTCTGGAAATGAATATTTCATTTGGATCAGTTGAATTACATTCATGACTCTCAAATCTTACGTACAGAAAGGAACTGTGCTGGATTCTGGAGGGAGTCAGGCTAGTTTCTTGATGCAGGCTTTTACCTTAACTATACGCTCCTTCGTTAATATGTCAAGGGACTTTGGGTATTACTGGCTGAGGCTTGTTATCTATATCGTGGTCACTATTTGCATCGGAACCATTTACTTCAATGTTGGAACGGGCTACAATTCCATCTTGGTACGTAATTAATTATGCAATTACTTATATATAGGTCATTGTAACCTGGAAATGAATGATTTAAAAAAACTAAAAAATATATATATTTAATGCAGGCAAGGGGTGCATGTGCATCTTTCGTGTTTGGTTTTGTAACATTTATGTCGATTGGTGGATTTCCTTCATTTGTGGAAGATATGAAGGTATTCCAAAGGGAAAGGCTGAATGGACACTATGGTGTGAGTGCATTTGTGATAAGCAACACATTATCTGCAATGCCGTTTCTGATATTGATAACATTTATATCTGGTACGGTGTGCTACTTCATGGTGAGGCTGCACCCTGGCTTGTCGCATTACATATTCTTTGTATTGTGCCTTTACGCAAGTGTCACCGTTGTTGAGAGCCTTATGATGGCTATAGCCAGTGTTGTCCCTAATTTCCTTATGGGTATCATCATTGGGGCTGGAATCCAGGTATTTAAACAAATTAATCCTTAAAACCAAGTTTGCCTGCAAAATCTACCATTTTGTTTTGAATGAATCACATTTATACAATCCTTTTAACTTGTTATTACAAACAGGGAATATTTATGCTGGTATCTGGCTACTTTCGACTTCCAAATGACATCCCAAAACCTGTCTGGCGATATCCAATGTCATATATAAGTTTCCACTTCTGGGCTCTACAGGTAAAACTTACTAGTGACATGTTACATGCATGTGATGTGTGTATCTACTCTTTCTTTTTTCCATCACAAAGCAAACCATTTTTTCTTTTTATAATTATATATATATATGTATGTGTGTACAGGGGCAATACCAAAACGATCTGACAGGGTTGATCTTCGACAATCAGACACCGGATCTTCCCAAGGTTCCTGGAGAATACATATTAGAAAATGTGTTCCAGATTGATGTGAATCGATCAAAATGGGTTGATCTGAGTGTTCTATTCAGCATGATTATTGTGTACCGCATCATCTTTTTCATGGTGATCAAAGTTAACGAGGATGTGACACCTTGGGTGCGTGGCTATATTGCAAGACGAAGAATTCAACACAAGAATAATAATGCTAATGTTAATCAGAACAACACTGTTGCTCCATTTGCTCTTACTCAATCTCCTTCCTTGAGGACTTATGTCCAAGATCGTGCTTCTGCTACTGCCAAGAGGCCCTAACAACAGTATCATGTCATATCTGAGCTTCTATATATTATTATTATTAATATAATTAATTCAGACTCTGTCTACTCTCCCACTCTCTGCTTAAATTCGCTGCAACCAATTTATTGTTGTAACTTCATCGTAACATGCCAAATTACTTTTTCTTATATATCCCTAGAGTGTAAAAATTAATTTACAGTTTTTAAAGTTATTGTTTGGTGAATTACGTGCGTCGAACGATTTAATTGCTTTAACTAACATAAATCCGCTTTAATGTTGAAATATGATTTTGAAAATATATATTTCATTATCGTAAGTAGATACGAGATTCAAAAAGCAGTTATTTCATAATTTTTTCATCCTTAAAAATTATTTTCTTGTTTAAAATTATTTTTTGGTAAATTAGGACAATTTTAATTGCTTTAACTAAAATAAACCGCTTTAATTGTGAGAAATAGTTTTCAAAATATCTATCTCGTTATATTTAATAGATACAAGATTCAAAAGGTGGTTAAATAATAAATTTTCCATGGTTAAAAATTATTTTTGTTATTAAAGTTATTATTTGGTGAATTACACGCGTGGGGCGATTTAATTGCTTTGACATACTTTAATGTTGAAAAATGATTTTTAAAATATATATTTCCTTATCGCAAATACATATTTTTTTCATGGTTAAAAAAAACGTAATTCACCAAACAATAACTTTAAAAAGTGGTTAAATCATATTTTTTTCATGGTTAAAAATTATTTTCATGTTTAAATTAATTTTTGGTAAATTATGACGATTTTAATTGCTTTAACTAAGATAAACCCGCTTTAGTTTTGAGAAATACTTTTTAAAATATCTATCTCATTATAGTTAATAGATACAAGATTCAAAAAACAGTTAAATCATAATTTTTCAATGGTTAAAATTTATTTTCGTTTTTAAAGTTATTGTTTGGTGAATTACGTTTGGACGATTTTAATTGTCTTGACTAACATAAACCCGCTTTACTGTTGAAAAATAATTTTTAAAATATATATTTCCTTATCGTAAATAGCTACGAGATTCTAAAAGCGGTTAAATCATAATTTTTTCATGGTTAACAATTATTTTCGTGTTTAAAATTATTTTTTGGTAAATTAGGACGACTTTAATTGCTTTACTAAGATAAACCCACTTTAATTTTGAGAAATAATTTTTAAAATATCTATCTCGTTATATTTAATAGATACAACATTCAAAAAGCGGTTAAATCATAATTTTTCCATGGTTAAAAAATATTTTCGTTTTTAAAAGTTATTGTTTGGTGAATTATGTGCGCCAATTTAGTTGTTTTGACTAACATAAACCCGCTTTAATGTTGACAAATGATTTTTAAAATATATATTTCATTATCTTAAATAGATACGAGATTCTAAAAGAGGTTAAAACATAATTTTTTAATGGTAAAATTATATTTCGGTAAATTAGGACTATTTTAATTGCTTTAACTAAGATAAACCCGTTGTAATTTTGAGAAATAATTTTTCAAATATCTATCTCGTTATATTTAATAGATAAAATATTAAAAAAATGGTTAAATCATAATTTTTCCATGGTTAAAAATAATTTTCGTTTTCAAAGTTATTGTTTGGTGAATTACGTGCGTTGGACGATTTAAATGCTTTAACTAACATAAACCCGCTTTAAAGTTGAAGAGTGATTTTTTAAGCATATATTTCATTATCGTTAATAGATACGAGATTCAAAAAGCGGTTAGATCATCATTTTTCATGGTGCGTTTTTAAAGTTATTATTTGGTGAATTACGTGGGTCGGACGATTTAATTGCTTTGACTAACATAGACCCCCTTTAATGTTGAAAAATAATTTTTAAAATATATATTTCATTGTCGCAAATAGATATGACAAATAAAAAATGTTTTCCATACGAATATTGAGTTAACATGAAGATAAAGGATTGGGAAAAATATAATAATATGACAAACGGTTCTGTACAAATTCACAAGAACAATCATTTCTGTCTACATAAAGACAACAATGATACAAAATTTGTTGCAACAGGACACATGCCATATATCTATCTATACACCGAATATTGTCAATTTTCTCCGTGATGTTAAATTGGTTGGTAAAACATTGAGCCAAGTGCTTGAACTTCATTACCATATAGCAAAGTTCTATTGTGGAGTATTTGGGAACTGATGCTAAATGATATCCATTGGCCAATGATTTTCCAAACAGATTCATTGAAGATGATAAAGAGTTTATATTCACGCATTATCAAATCTTAAACTTCTCCTGTACCAAAAACCAGCCGAGGCCCTCCTGGATTGCAAATGCTCTGATGAATCCAGAAAACAAACGGGGATTATTCACAAACTATTTATTCTTAAAACAAATATATATATATATATATATATATATATATATATATATATATATATATATATATATATATATATCAGATCGGTAACGTAGTCTTAGTCTTAGGTTGTGTAAATGGGGATTTTATTACCTGCAAGCAAGATCAATGGATTCTCTGTCTAAGAGGCCAACTGGACAGCCTCCACGAACCCCATCCTCCAAGATGACAGGGAGTTGGTTTATACCATTTCTATTCATCAGATTCAGTGCATTAAAGAGGCTCATGTTTGGTGTTGCTGTCCACGATACAGAACATCTTCTGCCTTAAGACGAACACAGTTCAGATACTCTAAGCACCTGCAGTATAAAATTCCAAGCATTCAATGACGCCTCGACAATTTCCGAAAAAACTGGTACCGCCCAAGAAAAGAGCAAATTTTGGCACACACATAACTATACATGCAACTTCCTTTTGATTTATGCCCGGATATTCCATTGATTAAAGTTTGAAAACAATTACTGATAAAACAAATTAAGTAAATGATTAGGATTTTTACCTGAAAATTGAACCTTCAGAGAAATCTAAACCCTAGCAAAATAGTGTCAAAAAAAATGGGAGATATATTCTTACGTTTTGAAGAACTATTCCAAATTGAGCACTTATTTTTATTAGACATCAAACTATTTTTACAAGGCACAGGTGTCAAGTAAATAAAACTCAGCCAACAAAAAGAAGAAAAAAAAAAAAGCAGAAGCACACATTTCAGTTAAAAACCCCTCTTATTTGTCACTGCTGAGTGCTGACTCAAACTACACTGCAAATATCAGTGTTATTGACAGTAAATCTACTACAACCATTTACAATCCCCAGTTCTTCAACAAACGAAAAACAAACAAATAAATCACTAAAACGAGATATACACCAAATCAAAAGTCTGCTTGTAATATAATTCAACCCAATATCCAACCAAATCATCACTTCCTTCCCCCAACCATATTTTGATTGCTTTAAATCTCCCATCTGCATTACCCAACACATTAAGATCTTCAAACAATCTATAAGACGGAATAAACGGCCTCTGTCCAACATTGTTTGCAGTAGGAGAACTCAAACCAGAAGTGACATGTGGCACTCCATTATTGGACGACTCAAACGTGGGCCTAGATGTCGGATATGTATAAACGGGACTCTGGTTATTGGTATAATAACCAGGAGTAGCAGCCCAAGGTGGAGGAGGGTACATAGATGTGTACTGATGAAACTGAGGCTGTTGATGTGAAGCATTATTAAATGCTTGTTGTTGTTGTGTTGCATATTGAGGATATTGAAGCTGATTCTGCTGAGGCTCGATTTGTGGTTGAGATTCAAACTGTTGATACTGAGGCTGATGCTGAGGTAGCAGTGGCTGGGGCTGTCACACGGGGCGATGTAGTTGTTGAAGGCTAAACCGTTGTTAACAGGATAGTTTGAGGGAATATTCCCTTGAGTTTGCTGCATTGATGGAGAAGGTGGTTGCTGAGGGGTTTGTTCGGTTAATGTAGGTGTTGATAATGTGATGCTGAGTAGGTCTATCATATCTTGTTCTTTTGTTCGAACCGATGATGTGGGCACATCGACTGGAACTAATGCATTGCTTTCTGTAAGTGCCACGTCAGCACGAACTTTTGAGTGCCTGTATTATCAAGTACAAAGATTAGAATATAATCCGAAACAAATATACCAACACACATGATAAAGAACATAACTTTTTTACCTTCTAGCAAGAAGGGCAAAGTCGTCTTCTTCTTCGTCATCTTCTTCAGGAGCAACATTCTTCTGTTTTTCAGGTAAAACTGGTGCAGACCGTTTATTATTTTCAGAAGGTGGTGCGTTTTGAACAACTGTCGCTTCAGCAGGTTTTGGAGTACTCAAGTCTTGTTTCTCAGATTCTTTGATTGAGATATTATTTCTCACTTGTGCTTGTGGTGGTAATGGAGAACCAGAAGCTATTGCATCGTGTTTAGCAAGCACAAATTTGTAGGCTATCATTGAGTTCAAGACCCTTACCAAGAATTTCTTCATCCCTGTTAAAAAAAGAAAGAAAGAAAGAAATTATATAAAAAAATTAGAAATATGTAGTAATGTAAATATTTCGATGTAAATTATTAAAGCATGGCTCACCCTGTTGTTGCCAACAACTGAACCAACTTCTTTTGATTGGCACGGCATTGCTCAACTAGGTCAACGATCACTTCATCTTTAACAGCCTACAATGAAAATATAAGTACGGATATTTAGAATATTTGCAAGTATTTTTAGAAAAAAAGTATGTCTGAAATTGTTAGATACCGAGCGATCGCTTGGATCAACAGCTTGCAACATATCAGCCAATAGATCAAGAACATCTTGCATTGAGTTTAGGCTTGATAAACTACACAAGCAAAAAAAAATTATATTAAGAGATAATTATTAAAGAAAGGTAGTTATTAAGGTATATAATCCAAATCTTAAATTTTCTCCGGCAGCCATTGCTTCATCAAGTCTAGTGGAAGAGCTGCTAGGCATTCCATAACTTGGTTTAGGATTATTCGTAGTTATTGGATGTGTTGTTACAGGTGGAGTAAATATTGGAACAGCATCCCTCGGTAAATTTTTAGGAAATTTTACACAAGATCGCTGTAGTGATGACATCCAACAGTTATTACATCAACTATTCAAATAATATAATCCACAAAATGGAAATCAGTTGGAGAAGATATTTACCCTCAGATCCTCATAAGCCATATAATACTGAGAATATCTTCCTCCGGCTCCACCAAATGCCTGATGCCAAGAGCCAATCAGGACTAGAATTTTATCTCTTACATTCATATCTGTCTGAAAAATACATTCAAGAAGCAACGTATTAAACTAGACAAGAATGTAAAATATCCATTACCAATATATCCCGCAGTAATGAGAACAGTACTTGCTTTTTTCCTAACAATCTTGACCATCTCAGACAATATATTCTTTCTGCAATTTGCAAATGCACATAATCGCCACAGTTCTTGACCATCGTCTCCAGAAGCTATAAAGGGACAGCAGGGAGCAACTTAATTAATAGTTAAAATGATTTTAGAGTTGAAACCTGCTTAAATTCCAAATTTAGTTCTGTAATTAGCAGCAATACACTAAAAACAAATCATTTTTTCTCGTCATACCGTTAAAGCAAATAATTGAATATTTGAACTTTAGCGTTCTTGTGCTGCAACCCTTTTTTTACAGCTTTCACAACATCTTTTGCCAGCCTAAGCAGTCAACCAAACCAAAACAAAAAGAAAAAAAAACCTAAAACATGCTGCTTGCACATAAACACCCAAAAAAAAACATGACATGGATAAACAGATCCAAAATTTCTGACCCTACCCAAATATATATGTGTGTGTTGTTTACAAAAGGACACAGATCTTATCTATTTAGTTCTCACAACACGACAACAAAAAGTATCCAAGCAATTACGATACTGATGAGTTAGAAGATGATAGCAAGAAGTCGCCCGACAATTAGTTTACACTACCAGTTTCGGGTTTTGGGTTTTCGGGTTTCGGGTTTCGGGTTTCAGGTTTCGGGTTTCGGGTTTCGGGTTTCGGATTTAGGGGTTTGGGGTTTCGGGGTTTCGGGTTTCGGGTTTTCGGGTTTCGGGTTTTCGGGTTTCGGGTTTTCGGGTTTTCGGGTTTTCGGGTTTCGGGTTTCGGGTTTCGGGTTTCGGGTTTCGGGTTTTCGGGTTGGGTTTCGGGTTTCGGGTTTCGGGTTTCGGGTTTTCGGGTTTCGGGTTTCGGGTTTCGGGTTTCGGGTTTCGGGTTTCGGGTTTTCGGGTTTTCGGGTTTCGGGTTTTCGGGTTTCGGGTTTCGGGTTTCGGGTTTCGGGTTTCGGGTTTCGGGTTTCGGGTTTCGGGTTTCGGGTTTCGGGTTTTCGGGTTTCGGGTTTCGGGTTTCGGGTTTTCGGGTTTCGGG